CTGACTACTTTTCATGGGTTAGCAAACTATTATTGTGGTCAACTACTTTCTATATACACAACAATTAACACATTATTTAAAATTAAAAGCTAAATTATAACAATGAAATATATACAGTGGAAAGAAATATTAGAAGCCATTGATAGCGAGAATAAAGATAATGTCATTGAAAAAATACAAGAGAAATTAAAAATAGAAGATGCGGAAGAGTATTATGAGTGGGAAAAAGCTAACTTTGATACAAACCACTTATTTGCAATAGAACATATAAGCCATACTATAGAGTGCGGGCAGTTTGGGTTCTCAAGTGTCTGTGAGAAAAAAGAAATTCATCATCAAACGTTGTTTATCTTAGCTGTTATCAATGGCTGTACAAGGATAGCAGAAGCTTTGATAGAAAAAGTAGTAGCAGAAGCTCTAGGCTCTGTGAACCAAAATTTTAAGCAAGCCATATGAGGGCCCCAACGAAGTTTAAAAAGCCTAAATAAACCGTGGCAGTCTTATCAAATCTTGAAAAAATCCGCCTAAAATGTTTTATTTTGCCGAAAAAGCATTCAATCAAATGACGTTCTTTATAAATATGCTCATCATAATACCTCTGCACTTTTCGGTTACGCTTCGGAGGAATAACAACCTCACACCCTTTATTCTCAAGACCCACAATAAAAGCATTACTATCATAGCCCTTATCGGCCACCACAACTGAATTTGAGACATTCTCAGTTAATGCTTCAGCCTGTGTAATATCGTTCCTTTGACCAGCAGTTAAAGTAAATTTAAGCGGATTTCCCAGAGCATCAACAAGAGCATGTATCTTTGTTGTAAAGCCACCTTTGCTGCGTCCCAGTGCTTCTTGAGCTCCGGTATCCTTCTTGTATCCAGCCGCACAAGCATGTGCTCTAACGATTGTTCCATCTATCATTTGCACTTCCAAATCTGGATCTTGTGTATATTTGAGCAGCTTTTCCCAAATTCCCTTTTCACACCACTTTTTGAATCTCTTATGTACGCTTCTGTAATTGCCATATATTTCTGGTAAAAGTCGCCATTGGCAACCACTTCGAGCCATGTACCACACTGATTCCATGAACCTTCTTATCCGATCTTCGTTTTTACTGTGTATTCCTTTTACGCTTTTCAAATTTGCAAAAATTTGTTTCCATTTTGTTTCTTGTATGTAATATTTCATTTGGTAGTTTCTCCTTATTTATTCACGGTTAAACTACCACTTTTTTCTTATTTCTCCAAATTTTGGTTCACAGAGCCTAACAGAAAAAGGTGTAGATGTTCATACAGCAGATAAAGATGGGATAACTCCTTTACATTTGGCTGCTAAAAATGGTCAAATAGAAATGGTTAAGTTTCTGATCAAAAGAGGTGCAAATGTTAATACACAATCAGCCGTAAATAAGTTGACACCTTTGCATTGCGCTGCCGTAAGAAAAAATAATAAAGAAATAATCGAAATTCTAATAAAAAAAGGTGCAAATGTTAATGCATTAGATGAGTCCAAGAATACTCCTCTGCACTCAGCTTCTGCTGAAGGACATAATTCCTGTCAGAAAGTTATAAAAACTCTCATAACAAAGGAAGCAAATGTTAATGCAAAAAACAAGGATGGATGGACTCCTTTGCATGTTGCTGCCTCATATTTTTCCAGTGAAAGGATCATAGAAATTCTGATAGCAAAAGGTGCAAATGTTAATGCAGTAGACGAAGATAAACGTACTCCTTTGCACATCGCTGCATCTTCCTTCAAAGAAGAAAATATTAAAGTTCTCATCAAAAAAGGAAATGCCGCCCCTTTTTTACAGGATAAAGATGATAAAACTCCACTGGATTATAGTAGTGATGCATACGACTATATAATGCAACTTTTAAAGGAAAAAGCAATTAAGAAGGGTTTTATTTATAGCAGTTCAACAGCAGTATTAGGTGCTATAACAATGGCTATTGCCATTACAAATGAAATAGCTACAGTTAATGCAACATCCATAACAGCAGCAGTCATTATCATTACAATCGTTGCTGTAGCCATCGGTAGTGCTGCATATATCTCATCAAACCCCAATACTAAAGTGAATGGAACGAAACAACCTCTCGAGCTATTAAGCTTTAATAAGCTGTAACTATAGAGCCAGCAAGTAAAATAAGTTTACCTCACGACCTATTTACATTAAAATTCTTTGATATGAGTGTAAGT